ACGGATTTTCAGCGATTTTTTTTTCCGATTTCCTGTGATTTGTTTGGGAAATCAAGTAAAAAGACTGCGATAAATAGTGCAGAACCTCCTTTATTTGTACAAAATAGTAATTAGACATAGTGAAAGTAAAGAAAAAAACGATAAAATCATGAGCGGTTTTTAAGAATTTTTAACAATATTCAGCGATTTTTAATGATTTCTTGAGATTTTAAACGATTTTTAAGGATTTTTACGGATTTTTAACAATATTTAGCGATTTTTAATGGTTTTTTGCGATTTTAATTGATTTTCGATTTAAACTGATTTTTCAAGCTCAAAAATCAGCTGTTTCCCCCTTGATCAGTGCCCTATTACATATTTTTTCCCCAAAACAAAGTCAGTTGCTAGAAGTGATCTCATAAATGTAAAAGACATTAGCTCAAAATTAATTATTAAACATGTTGCGTTAGACCGCCTTACCATCGATTTCATTTATCAAACTAGTCTGTGTTAGTATCCAATCAACACAACATTCCTGGCTGGTAACCACCAGAACAATCATGATATACGTTAAAATTTAACATATACTGGTTGACTATTACGAGAGGGTTACTATGCCTTAGAGAACGTAGTTGGGACCAAGTACTTGGTATGCGTAGTGAAGCCGGTATTTGTCTTTCTTCAAGAAGTAAATTTACTTGTAAGTACTTGTCTTACTTGCCAAGCACTTTCAGAAAGTACTTCTTAGCAATAAGGCAAGTATTTCGATCACTGACAAGTACTTAGCAAGTAATCAAGTACTTGCATCAAATACGTTCTCTAGGATAGTCTCATCCATTTAGTTATTCCATTTCTAATTAACTTCATGTCTAGCATGATATTTCTGATCAGTCTGATGACACGAAATAGATCATCATCATCATCTTTTGCAACTAGTGCATATTGGTCTGTTAGAAACAACAAATCCTATCTTATAAACCACTCACGATTAGTCCCCATGTTCTGATTGTTCTTCATATATCTCATCTGATATTAGCATTTGTATTTGCTTGCGTAAAATATTGCTATCAAATATATATCCATTTAATCGAGTATTTTATTCGTTTTTGGCATGAATTTGCACATTGTTCATTTTTGTTATTGCCATCATAAATATACAAGACAGAACTCATTGGCTGGTCAAAATCGATAAAAACAAGATTAAGCAGTAAAGCTATTATAGAAAACTGTTGGTATAAACCATTTATTAAATACAGTATTTCACCATACCTGCACTAAATCGGAGAAACCATTATATAGATACAGATAAGGTTTTCATATAGTTAAAAAAGAAAATCCATCAAAGTGAGCAGTAAGAAAATGAAACAAACAAAAACCTATAAAAATGTTAAAATGTTGGTGGCAGATGTTTCAGAAATGCCCCTATGACTTTATGTTGAAACGTTTAGATTCTATAATATAGTTTAAGACGCATCGATGTACAAATTCGAAATGTTCTCTACATAGTATCTTGTTGAGTAGAAGTAGATTGAATGTAATAGGACACATGGATGTAGTGTTCCAAATCCGTATGGCACAGTGAGCATTTTTCGTTAGCGCAGGCGGACATCATTCAATGCAATTTTTTATGCTGATTCCGAATATCACATTAATTTTTAATAAAAGTGTTTCTTGGCTGAGAAAAATGGAAAATACCTCAAAACCCATGTTTTTTTGGAAAACCTATAACTCGACTTTGATAAATATGTGCATTTCTGTGCATTCACAATGGATAGAGGAGATAACACCAAGCATTCTCGTATAATCTGGAGTCAGATTGGACGGGGGGAGTGGAGCGAAACTCATTACAAGGTGAGAACCTCCTTCGCAACCGACTTACTCTGGAAATCGAATTTTTTCGAAGATAAATTTTTTCCAATTTTGTGGAAGAGGATCTATAGGTTCAGAATATGTAAAGTTTTTAAACCTTAGACCACTGAGTCTACTAAAAAACCTATTTTTCTCCGAGGTCACTGCTTTTGAGGCATTTTTGGGATACAGTTTTCTGAAAATTAGTGCACTTGGAGTAAAACATTTTACACCATTGAGTAGCCTGTCAGTTGAACTGTACGTGAAACTATCTGAATTTTGAAAAAGTGTACTTTCGATTTTTGACTAAATGTCCTCCTGGATGCCCACTGTGTACGGATGATGGAAAAAAAGTTTTCATAAAATTTGCTGAAGGTATAGATGAGTTACTTAAAGTAATTTTAACATTATTAGACCATCACATTGAGGATTATTAGAAAAATGGATTTTATTGGACACGAATATTGGCGCATGACCATATATGATCTCCTGCAGACTGTTTCAGAAAATAAAATTACCTTGTAGTTCTTTACTACGAGCTCTTGAACTAATATTCGCCTATGATTTTTGAAACTTACTGGTATTTATGGATTTGTATCAGTTCAAACATATTCAACAACGAATACCGTTCATTTTGTACAATCCAGAACAACAGAAACAAGTTCATAAATTTATTGCTGATTATCCAATGTATTTTCTTGAGAACTGGAATTGTGTACCCGAACTTGATATATTTGAAGAGTTGTTAAACACTTGTTGCCTATGTCTACGATCGTATCTCTTCTTCGTGTTAACAGTCAGTTTAATACTGAATTTATATTAATTATACAACCATTGTTACGTCTTGTCCATGTCTGCTCAAGTCTGTTCCATTCTCTTACAAAAGATATTACTGAATACTATCAGCCATCGCAAGCCAGGCTAATCATTTTCTCGTCGAAGTGCATCTACCTTCCTCTTATTTCGTGTCAAACGTTCTAAAAAGAATTAACCCTAATTAACTTTAATTAATTAAGGTCATGGAATATGTAATGAGGCACAAGTTTACATGGTGTTTCATTGACGATGACGATGAAATCATCGCCCACCTACATTACATCTTTTAAGATTGATAACTCATCACACTAGCTTGATAAAAAGAGAAGAAAAAGTATATGTACTCGCACCCATGAGGGTTTCTTTGGTTAAAAACTGACACTATATCGGTATATTGGGCCAAGTGCCTGGAAATATCACTATAATGAGAAACTCGAGCACGATATAAAAGGTATCGCGATTTATTACAGTCTTTTGAACAAATTAAAAGTTAATTACAGCAATGTATTTATGAATAATAGTTTGGTCAGAAATCATATAGCGTGTGGGATAGAACGCTAAAATATATGTTGAACAAGATCAATCGAATAATTTTTATTTGTTCGCGAAGAATTGTTTTCTCTTTCTTGTGTTTGTTTTATCTCGCCTTTTTCGTTTTGCAGCCTTACGACTCTTATTATTGTTAACAGTAGAGGGATGTTCATATAGAGCTCGAAATTGAACATCTTCCGATACGGATGATTGAATGGTTGAACGATTTTTAAACGGCAATGTATTAATGGCAGTTGTTACTTTTGAGAACATCATCATTTTAGGTTCCTTTGACTGAGTGTTAGCATCATCCGCACTGGACCACAGTAGGTCTTTATTTTCTGTTACATGCCCTTTCTCTTGAATTGTTGCTGCTGATGCCCTTGTATAATATATTTTGCGTTTTAATGGGTTATCGATTTTGTCACAATAAGTATCAAATAGTTTATTATATGGTCCAAGGTCATCGGTTAATAATAATTTTTTCATTTTTGTTTTTCGTAAAAAATCAGTTAAACCTCTTGATATCGGATTATTTTCCAAATATTCGATGATTTTTTTTCTTGTTATTACACCATCATCAATGTCAAAATATTTTTCTTTCATTTGTGTAACAAGCTGGACCGTTGAAAGTTCATAAAGGGGTCTGAGTTTGTTTTCAATATAGAGGTATAAACCTTCGATAAACGGATCATTAGTTAGTGAACACTGTTCCGCTCGAGTTAATAACAAATCAAATGTGTCGCTACAATAGAATTTTTCAAATTCTATATTTTTCTCCATTAAATGTGATTTTATATCATTTAACGGTATATTGAACAGTTCATTTAATAAATCTTGCTGTCGATGTTCGAGTGTTTGAACTATTGGAATACCTTTTACTGTCCGTGTAATCACCTCATCTTCATCATCATTGCTTAATATTAGATAAAACAACAAATGTAATTTTATCATGATATTTGAAACAGTACTTTCCGAATCATCGTCTTGTTCCATTTCTTCTTCCATTGCCTTTGCTTGTCTATTTAAATCATGAATATCGTTAATGGGTATAAATTCTAAGTCTTTTAATATTGAATAACGATATTCAATGTCTTCATAGTCAATGTTGTAGTCTTGTTCTGATTTCGTTTGTAAACGAGTTTTTGTATTAGGTAGGCGAATATTTCGTTTATCTAGTTTTGTCAATAAATCCAAAATATTTTGTTTCAGATCAGCAGCCGTTTGCTTTTCTACCATCTATAAAATATTAACAATTCTACAATCACGAGGTTGAGTATAAAAACAATTTGAGGCTGCTTCACATTAGTACTTGAGTTATGAAGAATTTTTTATAATTCAGAAACCGAATGAATCTAAATATGACCCGACCGTTTTACTCTATTGAATGTGGTTCCTATGTATCCAATTCGAAAAACAAACACATAATGAGAGAAAACCTTTTTACTTAAAAAACTAATCGTATTCTCCGATCCGATGGTTTGGGTTCTCTAGAAACGAAATTCTATTTTTCCTTTCGAAAAGTTAACTTGTTCCTTTTTAATTCAAACTATACTTTTTTTACCCAGGTTCATTCAAATTCAGTCTCTTCCCTCTTGGATCTGTATGAACTTGTCCTATCTACTCAAAGACTACAGAATGAGGCTAAACGGATCAGGTGATCACCAAAAAATATCTTCACTTTTTACAAGTCAGTATTACGACGTCGTCCAAGGTGGTTTGATGAAACAAGATTGCCTCTTTCCTGCTTGTATACGCCCCCTGCTACGAGATACATTATGCCCGATTTTTCGCGGTGGCCAAACACCAATCAAGTTGAAAACTTCAAGACTTATGGGCTAAGTCTAAGAAACATTTCTCAAAAGTTTTCTAAAATCCATTGCAACCACTAACTAGAGAACTGACTTCACAGGAAAGCTCGCACAAATTGAACAAAGCACATGCGACCGACCTTGTAAATTTTCATATCTCATTCCTTAAATCAATTCATGACTGAGTCAGCAAATCAATATTTCATTTTGCTTTTAATAAAAAGAAAGAAAAACAGAAAACAGCACCGACTTCTCTTACCTTCTTTTTCTTTCACACCTCACGGCTTTGAACAAGAAAAGAAAGGGATGTGTGCAGGAATATACATTAAAAAGAAGAACCTTAAAATTGAATTTTTCATCCGTTTAATGTAATATATCCAAAACAATTAAAAAGATTTCTATACAAAAAGAATATAACTTTACTGCTTGATTAATAGCAAAACAGAACTATTTTTAAGTTTTTTAATAAAGAACCTTTAGAGTCAACAGATTTACGTTCTTTTTCTCTTTTTATTTATACCGTAGGCTATGGTATCAGCTATGGAAAAGTGGATATTAACCCTAATCAGGACGGTAGTGTTTATCATAATTACCCCTATACTTTTTAATTTTATTCGACTGCCTCACAGAGTTTATTATTTTCCATCTTTGATGGATGCACAAAGGTGTACGAATTGATGGCCATTGAAATATAGTATCTTGAAGATCACTATCAAGCAGGATCCATTTTGTAATAATCGTTAATAATGTGCGTAAACTCTTATTAAACAGAAACCCCT